GTTTTTTATTTTATAATATATAAGCAGAAATCACATATATACACTTATATGTATGTGTGTATAATAATAATGATATATAGTGCCAGGCAGAAAAACCCATTTACATCAGAAGGTGATCTCTGGTCCTGACACAGGTGTCCAAAGAACTTGCAGTAAATATGCTTTACTCATGCTATGAGGTATTTAAAAAAAAAATTATTTTAATTATGCATCTTGACATGTCCTCCTCCGGTGCAATGGCTGAAGTACCTTTGACAGTGGGTTTTGTTGTGGGTTTTTTTAATAAGGATTGAAAATATGAACGTGCGGCTCATTTGTGCAGTAGCTCACAAGACGCACTTTCCTACCATAGGGAACGGGGCGTGCATCTGCAACGACGCTCACGTGTTCACTTGACTGTTGTGTGTGTGTTAGTAGGACTTGAAAGTAAGACCTAGACCACCAGTCACACCTTCTCAGAGTCTGTATCTTAGAGCTAATCCCACAGCTTCCCATCACAGCACTCATCTCAGTTGTGGCAGATTAAAACGCAGAGCACACCTCAACCACCACGTGTTTTTTTTAAACTTTAGTCCCTGATGAATTCATTTCCAATGAAGTTGTGTATTAAGTGAAAAAACTCTAACGAGTAATGTTAAGAAGTAACCCCAAACAGAAATCTACCACCAGTTCACTGTGTTTAACGAAAACTACTTGTTGACTACTTCCTCACATTCATAGGAAGTTTTAATAAAAGGAAATTCTAAGAAGCAATTATTTTTCCTCAGTTCCTCTGACAAGATGGATTCTGCTTCAGCAATAAAAGATTAAAAAAAAAGGATCTCCATTAAACTAGAAGCCACTTGGAATGCTCTTCTCTTCTTTTCCCAATGTGTTAATCGGACACTTCAGCTTTTCAGTGACCCTGAGGAGGGCAGAACATTCCTTTCAACCTCGCTGCTGTGTTTTTCTGATTACACTAGCAAGCCTTTTTGGCCGGCAGCAATCCAGGCAGAGCCAGCTGGTTTGGCGCAATCTGGAAGGCTGTTGTAATAACAGACAGAACAAAAAAAAAAAAAAACACAAGGAAGAGCCTGGCGGCTGTATAAAACTCCCTCCGAGCTCCCGTCCCCACAGAAGTACACCGGCCTCAGCAATCAGCATGACCAGCCAGTCTCAGGGAATCCAGCAGCTTCTGCAGGCAGAAAAACGTGCTAAGGACAAACTGGAGGAAGCCAAAAAAAGTGAGTAGCTGGCCTGGTTTTACTGTAGTTTTCTACTGTAAGTTCTTCAGCATTACAGTGACTCACAGAAAGACGACATTATTTCACCTGGATACATCACAGCTGTACTGCACCTAGTCTTTCTTCTCACTTGCATTAGTGCTGTGCCTTGACTGCAGCCAGGCATTTAACCAAACCTGAACATTCAGAGTTTGCTTAAAATTCTGTGTGCACATGTGGGCTTGTGTGGGTGTGTGTGCACGTGCCTTATTATGTTAAACAAGTTTTTCTTTGTTATACACATCCTGTCAGCTAGATTTATTCTTGCTTTATCTCAATGCCAATAATGTCATTACAGCCTTCCTCAGGTATTTAAACTAGAAGCCTACATGTCTCTTGCTGCCAGCTCTGGAGGATCAGACTCTAAACTCTCCATTTCCCTTTATAGGTCTTGTATAAATTTTTCCAGTGTTCCTCTTTACTTACAAAATCTAGTAACTTGCCTTCTAATCTCAGCTGGGCTTCAAAAAAATATATGAAAACAAAGGGAGACTTCAGCACAATGATAGTAATGAAAGTCATGGTACAATCACGAGAACTGTCAGTACTGTGATAGGTCATTCCTGTAAGTCTTATTACATGGTACAAGCAATCAGCAAGTGATAAAAAGTTTAATTTACAATAAACATCTTGTTTGCTAAATGCCTAAATGCCCAGGGCAAAGCATGTGTAGATATCAAATAATAATAATGCATTCATATATTTTTATTCTAGTCAAATATAAGCAAAAAAGTAGTAACAACAAATATAAAAATTAAAGTTATCTGCTAGAATAATTTCAATCAAAGAAATAATTCTGCTGGCAGTCTTTCCATTATCTATTTCCTTCATTTTCTGTATTCATCTCACAGTGATTTAATGCAAAAATATGGTGACCTTATTCTCCTGGATGTAGGTACCAACCACATGAGTCACTGACCTGCATTACCAGTGAAACATTAGTACTGTTTCATGGAGTTATCTTGATTTAGAAACCAGCAGTAGGAAACAACATTGTCCTGCAGGACTCAACTGAAATGCATGAAGATGTCCTGCGCTGCAAGAGCATGATGAAGGAATATGTTTTGTTTTCCACAGAGACATAGAAGCTAAACAAAAATAATATATGCAGTTCCTATATCCCTTCCACATAGAAATCAGCATTGCTGTGTGTTCATTAATCATTAGTGCAACATGTTAATTTATACAACAGCACACAGAAAATAAGTAGGAAGGCAATACCCCTTCCCTGAGCACCCAGTCACCACCTGTGCCTTGCAGAAGCAACAGAGGGGAAAAGTAAAAAAAATCTATCTTCATAAAAGAGAAGGCTTACAAAAAGGTGTTTGGGGTTGCTGCTCCCAGCCTGAAAGCGAGGAATAATTAAGTGATTTCACCCTTATCTAGCTAAACGGGGTGCTCTCAGTGGAATAGTTCTTCCCTTCTCATCGGGCAGGGGAAACGCACTGTTCCTGGGAGCAAGCAGCAAGATGGCGCGTGACCTGGAAAGGCATGGCCCCCGTGGAGGGCCCGGGGGTTTGGTCTGAGCACAGGCTGCAGAATCAGGCCTCTAACTATGATAGCTTGATGTTGATTGCCCTTTACTTTTGGTTTGGTTTGCTTTTGTTTTTACAACCAGAGAAGTCAGATTGGCTTTTTCTAAAACAGCCAATTAAAATGAGTTTTCATAAATTAACAAACTCCAAAATGAAAAAGCATCATTATAACATAAAAGTAATGACCCAAGACAAGTGTCTTGTGGAATCCAGACATGGTTACAGGTGCGTTTACTCTGCAAAACACACACTCCTCTGTCATCACCTCAGCCCCACACTGAGTGTTTGTGATAAGCGCAGGGCTGCTCACAGATAAAGCATCTTCCAGACACCTCTGAGTCAGAAACTTGACTTAAACCACTGCCTACACCTACCAGTGCATTAGTGTAGAGGTAGGAGTTATTCAGCAGCTACAGAAAAACAGCTGTTAAGAATTTTGCTATCAGTAAAAATATTTACAGTAAAAATATTTCATCAGTATGACTTTCTTCTCTATTACTTTTAAAGCCAAACATTTTTCTGCTTTTATAAAAATTGTGAAGGAAAATAAAAATTTCTCATACATAAAAATCTGGAGGAAAAAAAAGAAAAAAAAGATGGGAAGGGGGTAAAGAAGACAAAGCCAAACTCTTTCCAGTGATATCCATTGAAAGGGCAAGAGACAAATAGCATAAATTTAAACATAAGAAAACAACTCTAACTGCGAGGGAGGTCAAACCCAGGAACAGACTGCCCAGAGAGGCTGTGGAGTCTCTACTCTGAGACATTCAAAACCCACTGGATGTGGCCCTGACCAAGCTGCCCTTGCCCAGCCTGCTCTGAGCAGGGGTTGCAGCAGCCCTTGGAGGCCCCTTCCAACCTCAGCAGCTCTGTGCAATCCCAGCAAAAACCTTGAGCATTTCCAAGAGATTTTATTCCTAGGTGTAGCAAGGGCAAAAAGTTCAAATAACTGCTGATGTGGCATGTTCATCTATAGCCTAAAGACTTTGGTGGATCTTTTCGTTCACGATAAATACTGCCAACAGTTTGTACTAGGGTGTGAACAGCAAAGGACTTGTTAATTTTAGATCTCATGGATCACATAAGTAAGGTCAGGCCTTAATGTTTCGATTCAGGTTTTTCTAAGGACTACTCCACCACAAATTGTGTGCTAAACCAAGCATTATAGCTAATCTAACAGAATAATTACACCTAGAAAATCGTTATTATAGTCAAGAGTACAATAGGTTTGCAGTGAGGTTACAAAACAAAAAAGTTTCCATATTGTCCTTAATGTCAATATTTTTCACAGCAATGTCACTACACCACCTTAGATACCTAACTATACCAGCATAACTTAAATACTGTGGGACAAAGATGTCTCTTCCCCAGACTGATTCTGCAGTTAGATCAGCATAAAGGATCGCATAGTTTGAGTGTAAAAAGTACGATAAAATGAAATACATGAAACGCAACCAATATACCCAGTACAATCAGTTAACCTGTGCACACACAACTGGGAGAAACAAGGCGAGGCCATGCTGCTTCACCCCAGGAAATACCAGCCCAAATCTACCTGGTACCAGTTTAGATCAGCAGCTTCTGCTCAGGGCTGGGCACTCTGATCTGGGCTGCAAGTGAAAGCAGTGAACCCGCCCCGCGAGCGCTAGTGCGTCCCATCCCTGCTAAACTCTGGATGTGACCTTTGTCACCACAGACAGCCCTTGCACAACACCACTGTACGAACGAGTCCGACTATTCTATTTGCACTGTAACGAGAGAAGAATGAAAGGCAGATCCTTCATGGGACGCAACCAGGAAAAGTCATTTTCAAGGAAATGTGCAAAACTACCCTTACGCAAACCCTTCAGTGTTTACAGTTGATACATAACCAGATCAAAACGTAGCGTGAACACACATAATATTGTGTATAAACAGATAGTGGGCCCAGTTTTTGCTGACATATGTGCAGCTGTTTGTAATGCAAAATCCACTTTGGATAACTGAAAAATTAGCAAATAAAATTATATTCATAGACATGAAGCAAAGCAAAAAATGCAGGCTCAAGGTCCTCTGTACATGCTTTTTCGTACTTCTTGCTCAATACCCTTTTATCCTGGCTTGCAATATCTTTACTGTATCATTGGCTGATGGCATTTATACCTGGCAAATTATGAATAGTTTGTTGGTAAATGCACACATGCAAGACTGAAACTATTAAATTGGTTAAACACAAACCAAAACAGTCTGCAATCCTTTGGCCTTTTATACACAGCACTGCTTTATCTATCATTTTTGCTTTAAGCTTAATTCGGATCCCAGAAATAACTGAGCACTGTCAGAGCCAAGACATCAATTCCTGAAAATCCTTTTGGGTAAAAGAAGGGAAGCAAATGTGTCATGAACACTGGGTTTAGCAAAACTTGTTTTCCTCTAGCTTTTTATATCTTGGCTTGAGTTTCTAGTGCCTAATGAAATGAAAACTCAGATGAAAGATTTCAGGAAATCAGATTAAAACCAAATATTAATCAAAATAAGATATTGTAAACAGAATTATATCCATGGTGCTGTCTTGGATAATATCCAGGACATATTTTATCTACTGAAAAAGCTGTACGTACTGATCAACTGCCTCTATTGTATTTTATTAAAAGTGCAAAATAGCCTTCTCAAAATGAGCATCCCTAAATCCCATTTTGCAGACAATTTAACACTCTTGAAGACAACTGAAATGGTCCTATTTAAAGAAAACAGGATTAATTTTTGGCAACTTCTTCATATGACATGATTTCTGTGCAGAAATTCAGCTAGAAGCCTCGATGATATGTTTGAAAACAGAAAGCCAATTTTAGCATGGCAGTTTTTGGAAAGTAAGATAACTCGGTGTTTAGGCAAATTAGAATGCAACATTTTTGCTTTTTACTGTCTTTTTCTTGCAAGATCTGAAAATCCCCAACCACCTAAAAAACCTCACCAGTTCTTTTGGGTCTAACCACATGTAGGTATTTCATTATCACAGAAATGCCTAGAAAGAAGAATACAACCTTTCTCCATGCTAATAATGCCTTCCGAGGTTAGGTAAGAAAATCTAATACAGGGCTGACTTGTTACAGAAAGTTGGTTAAGGTTTGGCCAATTGAACACAATACCTAGAAATTTATAGGCTGTCAGCTACCGTAGTCATGGACAACGGTGGACAAGGACACCAGGCATAGCACAGCTGCTTTGCTGCTCCCTGTCTTCAAGGGTGGAAAGGAGGGACAAAGTGGCGGCAGCAAACCTGGCCCCCACAGCATCCCCTTTGGGGCAAAAGTCTCTTCAAACTTGGAGCTTTCTGTACCTCGCCCTTATGATCGTAGAGGAAATGCCATAAGGACAGCTTGGTTTGCCCATCCTCCTGTATTTCTTGCCCTCTTTTTGCACGATCTTGGCTGAATTTCAATGCTCTGCCACCCTTCAGTGCGTAAGGTTTGATTTCAGCTCGGCTGTGCTCTGCAGAGAATCCTGTCCAGAAGATCAGTGAGACTTTGAAAAGGCAATCCCCTAATGCACAGCTAAGGTAGCAGACAAGTGGTTAATAACAGACTGATCAATTAATTTTGGTTTGTCTCTAGTGAAACAGCAGGTTAAGCTCTAGTTTCTGCTTAACTTAATCAGGTGCAGCATATGCACTATCGCATATGTTGGCAGTTGCCGATTCTGTCCACAACGTTGTTGAACTAGCAGTAATTTACTCACAGCTTTTCCACTTAATTAAATAGGAAGCAGCAGGTTCCTGCTGTGCCAATCCTAAAGGCATCATGGAAAAATGAAATGGCTGCCACCCTACAGTGACACCCTATGTATTGTGCTTACTCCAGTGCACTGTCAAGAGCTGCCATGTATGTATATATGTACTTTTTGGTTCACTAGCTACATTGTCAGAGGCAAATGAACTGTTGTTTTACAGTTAATCTCTTTCCATTTTATGCATTTTAAATGGATTTATTTATCTATCTGGTGGCCAAATATGCAACATATTTACTACAGATGGCCCCCCAGATGGAATTTGAAATTAAAATCCCACTGATTTTGAAATAATTTAATTTGCTTTAGAGATCCAGTTCCTCAGCTGGTGAAATTGGCAGAGCTTCATCGTAGTCACTCCCCCCCAACTTCCAGCTCCAGAGAATCGCCCCCCAGCTCCACTCCTAGAGGAAAACTCTACAAAAGGCTGATCAGCTCCAAATTTGGAGAGGAGAATAAGGGAAACTTCAAAATACAGACCTAAATCTGGTTCCAAATTTTGTTGTCCAGATTGATACCAGGCTCCTACACAAATCTGTCTGTCCACACATACTGGTCTCAAGACTTCATACAGTGAGTGGCAGAAACTGAGTGAATCAGCCCTTGTCAAACAAATACAAACTCTAGGAAAGTACACGTTAGGTTTTAAACTGCCTCTCTCCCCCTTTATACATAAGCACATGCCTCGGTGGCAGAAGGACCCCGAGAAATATAATGAACTACAGAAGAAAGCACTGTGCTGATGAACTGAGAGTCAGTAAAGCTATCTAGTTTCTCACCAGGTTATTTCTTCCTGTAAAGAGCCTTTATACAATCATGCGCCCCAGGTCTCACAATAAGCACATCCATAAATCAAACAGTCCAGGAATCAAGCCTTTAAAAGGAATTTCACATTACCGGCATCTCTCTGCTTCTACTCACCCATCTGCAGATAATGACTTCAGGAGGAGCCATCAACTGGGCAAATAAGTTACTGCTGGATCAGGCATTTTACCCAGGTTTTCGTTGAATCTCAGATGTATCAAAACCAACAGTCTTCCTCCCAAGAGTCATCTTCCTCATTGTGCCATGCTCAGTGGAAGCAGATTGCTCTATGCCACACCTGATAAGGCTTCATAAGCCCAGCACAGGTGCGACCAATCCAAAGTAGCAGCCTGCTGAAAATAAATCAGAAATACTAATGCTCATCTTTCTAGCCTAGTTGGAGAACATTCCTTAGGGTTTCAGAAAAGATACCATTTTCAACTTTTGTGCTTGAATTGAAAGATTTAAAAAAAACCAAACCAAACCCAAAACTTACAAAAATATTCACATTGCTCAGTGATGTTAGGTAGGTGGTTACAATAAGTAAATAAATAAATGGATGTTTCCTGCATCAGATCAAGATGCCTTTTTTCAGTTGCCTAGCCTCCACTCCCTCATTCTTATAATACCCTGATTTAAGCAACTAAGCAATAGCTTTTTCAGCCATTGAAGACATGTCTCCCGTTAAGAAAAGGGAGCAAGCTTATCCCTTCCCACTGCTAAAATTCTAGCTGTAGAGCAGAAAGAGACCCCCAAAATCAGCATGAGCCCAGGTCTCAGGTATAACATACCAACTTTCAACGCAAGAGGCTTACAGCCCCACCAGTTAGAAAGTGACTTTTTCCTCACCAAGTAGTGTAGCAGAGTCCTGCGGAGATCCACGCAACTTTGCCAACTTTATACAAAACAGGCAGATAGAGATGCATCACTGTGGGGTGGTTACAACACGTTCAACACTTCATGTAAAAACTTAAGCATCACGTTCCCATCAAACCTTTTACTCCTATCCTTTACATAACATCCCTGCTAAACCCAGGAACCACCTTATGCTCAGTCCTGCGGTGACTTATGTGGGCTTGGTTTGACAAAACTTTAGCATTTTACCTAACACAAAGTAACTATTCACAGTGAACAAAACGAAGTATGTAAACAAGCCTGTTCAGGAGGAAGGCTCTAGTTTCCACTGCAACCTAAAATGCCACCTTACAGATCCCTCTCCTGTAAAAAAGGGGGAAAAAAAGACTTTTTAATCACTTTCATATTTTCTATGCATTGGTAGAGAATACCATTGACATCCTTTTAATCCCTCACTTCTGCATTTAAAAAATGTTAAGGGAAAAGGGTGGGGGAGAAGAGGACAAAGCCCAGAGGGTTGTAACTCAGTTTGATAGTGGTTAAGACATATCTTGCCGTAACTTGGAAATCTGCCAGCTCTAAGCAGAATCCAGTTGGTGTGGGATGAAGGGATGCTGGCAACCAATCAATATAGCAAATCTTACAGAATAACGTCTTTTCCCATCAGTGACAACTAAAATCTGTTATCTGGCTGCTACTATTGCTGATGAAGGAAAGATAGATATTTATTTAAACACCAAGCTGTGATTAAAAAAAAAAAAAAAAGCAAAGCATTTGTGTTATGAGAAAATACGTAGTTGCAAAAAGACTTCTGTTGTTAGCAAACCAACAGGCTTTTCATTTAATGTGTGCTTTCGCACAGGGAGTTGGTCTCAGAAGATGGGTACTTGCACGACTAGCGTTCAGTCACAAAACACCCTACCTAAATCACTTTGACTCTTCTGACCATTCTTGTGCAAATAAAGCTGCTGTTGACTTTGCTCAAAACTTTGTCCATTTTACTATGCCATGTAAAATACCTCTGATTTAGAGAGTTATCTTTTGTGATACAGTGACAAGTGTGAAGTAAAGCCCTGTTTCTTCCCCCCATTAGGAAAGGGAAAGAGGCCAGGGAAGAAGCCATAGCCGAGATAGACCACTACCGGTTACAGAGGGAGAAGGAATTTAGGAACAAGCAAACAAACGTAAGAAACCTGGATATGTTCTTTTGTAGTGTCGATCTGCTCAACGGTAAAACAAATTGCTTCAAACAGTGTTACATGGAGACTTCTGCAAACCAACATGCTGATACTGATTAAATACAGAGATATCACCTATGATACATTATGCTTCATTTTGATTTCTTCACAGTCTTTGAATGCATTTGTAGAAGGTATTATGGACTTTCACCACTAAAATTGTCCAGATTCTGTATTTGGTTCATGCTTGTCTTTTGAAGACTTATCTCCCTTAAGGAAAAATACCTTTGGGTCCTCTTTCTTTAACTCCAAATAGACCTCATTCCTGTCTTGAAACTGGAGATTTCGGTAGGGTGGATGTTTCAGTAAAATCAAAGATTTAAAATCTTTCTTTCTATTTCTGTTCCACTTTAGCTGACTTTTTTGACTGCATACAAGACTGTATCTTTGATGAACTGAAATCACCAAAACTTTGGAGTTTTTCCACTACGTTTTCATAGTAAAAATGGTCTGGGCAATATTTTCATATCTGAGTTATACCACATTTTATACACTTATGCCATCTTGCAGTTTTCTCTAGTGTTTTCATGAAGGTTCACACACCATTCTCTTTTTCTTGGTGACCTTCCTCTTAGGTTTTTGTTCTTGTTTTTTCCCCTGCTTGTTTTGTGCAAAGGCAAGGAAACTACACGTGCAAAAGCAGCCACAAAAAACCCAAAGAGGTCAAATAAAAACTGCTTTACAAACCTGTCATTTCAGTATCACTTCACATAAAACATTTTCCAGCAGAGATCACAAGCCCTAGGAACAGATATACACACACAAAGTCTCTAACGTACACTGCCAGCCCCCCGACGCACTGTCACACAGCCAGGCCAGGTGGAATTGTCTCATATGTACAATTTCAGATGTTTACAGACACTAAATAAAAACAACTCTAAAATTTGTTCACCTTTTCAGTCAAGCCAGACTTCTTGTTTTAAGTCTGAAAGAGCAGAAGGAAAAGATGTTGCTTTGGTGTGAACTCAATTTTTTCATCACAAACAAAATTCAAGCTGCAGGGAAAGGCCACTGTTTGTTGACTGAACGTTTCACCCAAGCAGGACAGAGCCCATATTGCTCCTCAAATGACAGCATGTTGTACAAGATCATTGCAGTCCTCCTTCACGTTCCCTGACCCCATTATGTTGAACATTTATCTACCTAGACAAATGTCATCATTATTAACCTGTGCCTGGAAGGCAGTCAGGAGTTTCAGCTAAGCCGGTGTAGAGGGATGTCTGATGCCCAGGTCAGATCGCTGGCTCAGGTATTCAGACACAAAGTGTTTTTAATTCTTTGTCACAGTCTCATTTAATGCTGTTCCTCCTCCTACTTGGTGGTGTTGTATCCAAACTGGGGTAAGTTTTCTCATAATATGAGATGTTCCACATTAGTCCAAAATGAACAACAGCAGCAACATAAAATAATGATTCATTTGAGGTTAGAGTGACAATACACAAGATCTTTTTTCAAAATATACAAAATTTAAGCCCGGATCTCAAACCAATCTTGCGAGCGCTCATGGTGTTTGTAAACAGAGTCTGAGATCACTGAACTCTGGAGATGTGCAGCTTAGTTCTGAATTTATGGCTTCCAAGTCAGTGTAACATTTTAGCAACTTTGGAATGACACCAACATAAAACCAGTATAGGCAAAATAAGGCATAGATCTTCAAGGTCAGCAGAAATCAGAGTAAACAGAGCACTATCTGTATCCTGACAAGAAAAAAGTCTTCAAATTCAGAAGCAGAAAAAAGGGAAAAAAGTACATAGAAGAGTAAGAATCTACTATCTTAATTTACAGTATTAACATGAACTGAGAGAGCAGGTTCCCAGTCTACAGAGGCTCTTCTTAAAATTATAATACTTTTCTTGAGGTTTTTCCAAAAGTATTTAGTAGCTGGATAACATGGAGCCACCTGGGATCTCTAGAAAGTTATTTTCCCCAGTGGAAAAAAATCAGCTTCCTAAATCTGGTCTAAGCTGCACAATCTTTCCCACATGAGACCCTTACAACTTGTCTAAAAGCTAAAATAAAACGGCAGCTAAAAATAGTTACTATAGAAAACTATATTCTTTTCCCGATATTTACAATTATGTCTATGTCCTGTATTTCTTCCAAATCAGAGTGTTTTACATCTGAATTACGGACAAACCTTACTACCGTGCCAGGTACTGATAAATAGAATTGTAAAGGTGATTGGTGCAAAAGATCTTAACTCAGCTGCTTTTCCTTCTTTTAAGGACTAAGTTGGGCTGAAATCACATGGAAAATAAAGCTAACGACTCCTCCTTTATTTCTGGTCATCCTCTAGGTATTCCACTAGCGTCACACATTAGCTTCAGCTGCTAGTCCACCCCAGAGAACTATGGCAGGAATAAGACGAATATGTTACTTGTTCCTTTCTTACTCTGTCAGTGTGCAGAAATGTCTTCTGCTCTCCCCTGTGGAATTCTTTAGCTGGAAACCAATTTCTCTGCTGGTATCTGAAGGACTTTTCCATAAGGGAAGAATTCAAGGGATGTTGGGGCAGTGGGGGAGGAGGGAGCAAAGTCACAGATTTGGAACGCGTGCATCTGTTTATAACATAACCTTGCTGAAATGTTCAGCGAGCCTAGAGTCAATTAAATTCTAAGCGAATGTCCTGATATTAACTGTGCCAGAAGCTGTCTGGTATTTCGCCAGATAAGAAAATGTAACATTAAAAGACCTTGTCTGAGGCCTGTTGAGGGTTATACATCACTAACTGCTGAAGACATTTCAAGTACTCTGAAACTGTAATTATGCATTGTCAGGAAGGCTTTCCCATGTTTTGCTCCTTAGCCACGCTCACATTCATTCTCAGTGAGGCCAAATGAAGCACATTGGTGATAGAACTTAGCTGACTAGTCATTAAAATAGAAAACAAATTAAAATGAGCGATATAAAAGACAAAACGTGTACAATGTTGTCCCCACAGTGAGCTAGGAAACTTTCGTTACGTGGGGAGATTCCCATTGCTAATGAGCATATGAAAGAGTTCCCTTTAATTCTGTGTTTATGTGTATAGTTCAACCTAGATCATACCCTTACTTTTGGAAGCACTGTGACATGTTTGCGTTATGTTTATGCTAGATGAAGAAGAAAACTACAATAAACATAGTCATATATAATCCGTTATTTTACTCAGAGGACTTCTGCTTTTCAGGTAATGGGCTCCCAAGGTAACCTCTCTGCTAAAATAGAAGAGCAAACAACAGAAACCGTTCGAAACCTCACTAGCAGCTACCACAAGAACATGGAGAGCATGATGAAAAAGCTTTTGAGCACAATATGCGACATCAACCCTGAAGTTCACCCAAACTTCAGACATGCAGTTTAAGATCCATTAAGATCCATGCTGGGGAAGGATGTTTGCAAAAAGTAGCCTTCTTTCTTGATAAGCATAAATATTTCCTCATCTATTGTTTCTGTATGTGTGAGAAAAAAGAACACTAAAAGCCAAAAGCACACAGTTCCACATAGGCTTTTGATATGACAAGAATTGCCCAAGGTGTCACAAACATTTGTTGGAATATTGTTTCCTGTTGGTAGCTAAGCCCTTGTCATTTAGACAGGGGGCAAGTCAACAACAGCAGAATAAATGATTATTTGACACCAGCAGCTTTTCAGTGGGAGTCTTTATTCCTTTTCTCTTATAAAATGTTCTGTACTAGGATGCGATGTTGCATAAAGTCTGTTTATCCCAATCTTTGTTGTACTTCAAGTCACATGAAAGAAAATCACAAAACCTTAAAATAAAGCATTTCTGGTTTCCCTGTGACACACAGAGTGGACAGGTTATGGAGCATATAGGAACTCTGTAGCTTTTGGTCAAAAAGAATAGGTCAAAACATTTTCAATTGTTGTATGCTAAAGCAAAATGTAGCTGACTTGTACAAAATTATGTTCAAAAGCCATACTCAGAGTATTGTCCTGTTGTTTAACTACACCACAAACTGAGAACAGGAGTAATCATTATTTATGAAATTGCTTTGGTTCAAGGTGCAGACTAGCACATCCATCATTATCTGTACGGTTACACCCAAAGCACAGGAATCCATGGGCTCAAACTCTACACCTAGTTTAGTTACATTAAATAGTACCTTAACCCACGGGTTGTTCACAGAAATCACGTCACTTAGAGCTCACTTCTGTTACCCTAAGTGACCTTGAGTAATACTTCCCTCTGCAATGGCAGAGATTTCCTTTAGAATAAATTCTGCTGAAGTTAGGAAAATACAGTATGATCTGGTGCTTTCAAGGTGAAGCCCATTAAATCTGATGGGAGGTACTGATAAAGCGGGGGTCTGGCACATGCTTGCATCATGAACCCCCTTAATGCCTTGTCTCCACTACAAAATTACACTGAATTAGAAAAGAAGCTTGAAAAATTGCAATGACTAGCAAACAACAGCCGTGACTTTGAGCCCACGTAGACACAGACAAATCATTTCAATTTCACAGCAGCTAGTCACAGGCAATCTCCTGTTCCAGCGAGGTTTACACAGCTGACATGCTGTCATGTGTAAAATGACCGTAAAGCTGTAGTCAACTTAATGTCAGCAAACATGACTCCTCAAGGCTGTGCCTGCATGCTACATAATCTCCCAGCCCTGATTGTTACAGTCTCCTGTGCTTGATTATATTCTCTGGGGACGCAAGGGTGCCGAGGAACAGGAAAGAGACTAGAAATCCTATTGACATCAGCTGAAAGGCTCATTTATTTAGGAGTGCTTTGAATCGAGCTGTGATAGGCTTTGACTTACTGAGGGGATGAAGGAGCTCCGGTCCCAGCCTACGTGCACGAGCCCACACACGCACCCTCCCACACGGCACATGCAGTCGGGATTGCCGCATTGCCCAGGCACACGCGCCTCCAGTTTGGGTCACGGCCACCGTCCCAGTGTAGTGCTCAACTGTAAAGCACTATTTTCTGTGAATTTAAATAGTCACCAAGTGGACATTAATCTCTCACAAGAGCTCACTGCAGTGGTCAGGACTGCTCTGCTTTCCCTTCTGGGCTACCTCAGCACCCTTTCCACTGGTTATCACTTCTAAACACACAGAAGTGTTGCAGGTTTGGGGGCAGAACTAAAGCAAGGGGGTTTCCATGGCCAGCTGTATGGGATGACAATAGACACCCCTGTACAGCGAGAGCAGAATTGCCACAGTGTGGTGGGCAGCAAGCTCGAGATGCAGATTTTCAGATGGCCAGCAACCGAGATGATGTGAAATAAAGCTTTGTTTTTCTGCATCACCCTGCTTCTTTTTATGACATTCCCCCTTTCCCTCATTCTTGCTAAAATCTGTCTCCTGTCACCAACTGTTTCTCTTGCAAAGCTTCTGCCCCCCTTTCAAGACAGTAGTACTCTCTACCCTTCTGGTCCTAACGGCCACGCTCACACCTCTTATTTAAACCTTCTTTAAAATAGATTATCGCATGAATACACCCTCCTTGACAAAACCCTGAGCACAGGGTGGGGGATGCCGCTGTGCCACCTCCCACGCAGTGACACTGCGCTGCAATCATGGCAGTGACCTGCCTGTGCCCTTGCTATCACCTGCATACCTGAGACATAAATAGTGTCTTAAGTACTTCAAACTTTCTGAACATGATTATTTTATTGAGCTGTGTCCATAATGAAGAGCTACCGCTTGTGAAAAAGGAATTAATTCCTTATGATTAGCTCTTTGATCTTGAGATATACATCTGAGAGCTTTGAGCACTCTGTGCATTTGGTCTCTTCTATGTTCATTCCTACTTCTGGACAGGGAAAGGGTGGTTACACCACCTCTTTTAGCTGTACAGAGGTAAAATTAGACTTCATGCAAATTGGCAAGATATGGGGGCTTCTTTTAAATGAAGAGTGTAAAGTATCAGCTGCATCAATGGAATATTGAGGTGCCAAGAAAATGCCTGCTGAATTTACAAGAGCACAAAATACCTTGTACGTGACATTCGCATATTCAGGGTAACAGCAAATAATCCTTCCACGCAAAACAAAAAGGAATAATAGAAGCAAGGAGGTTTAATTTCCACATGCTCTCAAACGCATAAAAAAGTAAGAGTGCTTTCTCTGTATTAGCAGTTACCCACCACGGATGATTACAAACGCCCCTTGATTAAAACAAGCCCTCAAGGTTTAACCAAGGGGTTGAATGATGCCTGTAAGGGCCCTGACCACACACTCCCTTTCCCCCCATGACGTGCTTCTCACTGTGACTCACATTCCCAGCTTGTCCTGAGCCCGTCCCAGTGCCGCCCTCACCTGCTGCGCTCCCTGGCTGCCAGCTCCTGCCCTGCCACCCCCTGGGGAGCATCCCCAGACCCCAGGGAGCCCCCAGCCCTCACACTGCCCTGACACACTGCTGCCTAGTTACGTACCAATGCAAATAAAATGGTGACATTGCAAATACAACACAAGCAAATCTGAGAAATAGAAAGCCACATATACATAGCACACATACCTTTGTAAGCCTTTTTTTTCATAAATACCTGTGAAATCAGAGTCTTGGCAAACACCTGAAGAGCTCCAGTGAAGGTTTACATATCTCTGGCCACATTCTTCCCTTGGAAATGGTGGTTACCTGACCACGACACCACTTCAGACAGAGGGACTTTCTTTCACAGCAACAGTAATTAGCACTTTCAGTATTTCAATTAGTATGTTCTAATTATCAATAAATTGATAATCAATAAAATGAATGGAGCTGATTCAAGGTCTATGTCTGATCCCATCAAAATCAACTGAAAAAAGCCAGTGTGAGATACTAGGACTGAAACGAACTCGGGGAGTTTCCTAGATTGGCCCAATTCTACACTAAGAGATATACTTGGAAGTCCATATAATCTGTAAAACGTAAGTCATTCTCCTAAGTGATCATATGTAGGATATAAGCATATGTGTGAAGCTCTTACAGAACAAGATATTTCGGTCTCTGACGTTGTAGTTCAAGGACTGTGAGCGATGTCTCCCTATAAGATGGGATGAGATGACCTGCCGTGGCAGAGCTCAGGAACCACGGCAGGACAGGCGACAACAGGCTGCCATGACGTACGATGGCTGGAGATGTGAACCCGCAGATACGTACTTTCACAAGCAGCCTTGCCCAGAAGCATCCATAACTGCAGACCAAGGAGGAAAGACGTCTGTGTGTAAGGATTTACCGAGCATCCCTGCAGCGAGAGGCTGTGTTGAACTTCAGGTACGTACCTAGGCAGGGTGACAATTCAGACTGAGTCTGGGGATGAAACATAAACATGTTTTAGGCCACTACACAATACCTTCCAACATGCGTAGTGGCATTGGCTATTAGCTATATTGACATGCGGGTCAATTAAAGGTATAGCTATTGTGAAACAGTAACAGTTCTTAAAAGAATGTCCCTTACTCCTATGGCACACTTAATGGGAAGACATTACCTTCAACTGGAATTTCTCTTAACTAAATTGTATGAGAGCGTGCTGCATCTTTCAACTAGGGATTTGTTTTTTCTCAAATAGTAGCATGCAGATTAATCAAATGTTATCTAGACACAATTCTTCTTCTTCAGCCCCAGCCACTTGTTAGGTTCCTATTCTAGGATGTCCTCACCAAAAGACTAACCTGTGAGAATCATACCTGTGTGGCACCTCATTCTCACCTTCTCCATACCCTGGGGCAAAGAACATTCCCTGACTGTCCAATAACTGAAGGGGGAGCCAAGTGCTACTGAAAATAAACATAAGGGGAGGAAAGGATACCAGGCAAAGATTTTGTGGTGACAGCAGCAATTCAGTTCTTTTACATTCCAGGAACTTACCACAGTCACGTGTTGACTAAGTAGGAAGCTTGAACATTATGTAAAGTTACGTTCTGCTTCACATATGCAATGCATACACTTCAAAATCATTTTCTCCAGTTCGTCACGGAAATAGAGGAAATGCCTGTTACACAATACACAAGTGTCATATATTCCTGTCAGGTTCACAGTGGCCTGTCCTTCACAGATTTGATTATTCCGCATTTTATGGTAGTATAAGGCACTTCAAACCCCGAGTCTTCCCCGAGGAATGTTAACGCTTGTTAGAAGTACATGGCCCAACCAGTATTACTACAAAACACTTGGAAAATGTTACATCGGAGTACTATTAATACACTCTATTGCACTTACAGGACATGACTGCATGCGGAAAATCTGATGACTTGCAAGCTTATTAACGTACTGAGATTCCTCGGTGCTTTTATGAAAGATATGCCACAACTGAATTACCTGACCCAGGGTAATTCCTCAAAGTCCCTCTTGCCTCAGATATCTGATTTATTTACAGGTACATCAGACTCCAATATGCACCCAAAT